ATCTTTACTGTTTTTCCAGTTTCTTTTATTCTTCTAACAGTTTTCTGATTTTGTATTTTAACACAGTAGCAACAACAGCTATTTGTCGATTCGACTTGCAAATATGTCTCAATTTTAACTTTATAGGCTTTGGATTTTAGAACAACGACGTCAATGATAATAATTAGGTTATAAATTCAATATGTGTACAGTGTACATGTATAATAATTTTTTTTAACACAAATATATTATTGATCGAATTATATTCTACGTTTAACTACCTAACATTCAAAGCATTTAATTCGATTCTCAATCCACTGTTTCACTTCATGTTTCAGGTAAGGATAGGGAATTATATGCATCTTCTTTAAATGTTGTTGTTTCATTAAATACTTCTTTTACTGTTGTTTGTTTCATTCCTCTGTTTCAATAAATGCTTCACATTTCTTTCTTTTCATTATCACGCCAAAAAAAGACAAAGAGAAAGAAGATCAAAATATGAAAGCTGGCTTGTTTTGGAGCTTTCGGTAAATTCACGAGCCACGACGTTAAAATCATTGGATAATTTGCCAGCAGTTTTGGTGAAGGGTTCAAAATTTTTGCCAGAGAGGCAGCTCTCGGATCCAAACCAATGCACCCGCCTGATTTATGATATTTCTTTGGGGATATGCATCTATACTCGCTTTTTGGGTCACGTTTTAACTTGTGTCCGTTTTAAAAAAAATGCAAGCGTACCCGCATCTTCGCGTAAAATTCAGTATACGGGGCTGAAGTAGCAAAGGCAATCACGCAAAATTTTAGCATTCTAGTAGACGGGCCTGAAATAGCAAGAGTGCTAAACCAAATGTGCTGAAGTTTTTGTTTGTAATTGCTGAACTTAAGCATAGTAGCTGAAGTTTTGTTCTCTATTTGCTGGAGTTTTTGTTTGTAATTGCACTAAATAAGCTGAAGTATTTTGTCTTGGATTCATTAGTTTTGTCATTAAGCTTTTTCAAAAACTTCAGCAGAAAATGCTGAAGTTATTTAGTTCATTTATAAAAACTTCAACACTACATAAGCTGAAGTTTTTTTGTCCTGGATAAGCTTTTTCAAAAACTTCAGCAGAGATGTTGAAGTTATTTAGTTCATTTGTAAAAACTTCAGCACTAAATAAGCTGAAGTTTTTTGTCCTGGATAAGCTTTTTCAAAAACTTCAGCAGAGATGCTGAAGTTATTTAGTTCATTTGTAAAAACTTCAGCACTAAATAAGCTGAAGTTTTTTTGTCCTGGATTCATTAATTTTATCATAAAGCTTTTTCAAAAACTTCAGCAGAAGATGCTGAAGTTATTTAGTTCATTTGTAAAAACTTCAGCACTATAAAGCTGAAGTTTTTGAAAAAACTTTCTAACATACTAACCAGATTGAAACACTAGTAACACATGGTTCAATTTTCTTAACACAGGATTATTATGGTGTCTGTACCCTGCTGGTGCAGAAGCTATATTGTAAAAACAAATAAAGGATGAGCAATTGAGAAAGGGAAAGATACAATACAGAAAGCAAAAAGAAGAAGAAAGAGAGAGCGAGAAGCTTCATAAAACCCTCATGAACTTGATATATGAGTCATCAGGATTCAACATATATCTGTATTACTGTGTATTCATAGAAGCACCAAAAACAGCAGAAGAAAGAAGAAGAAGAAAACGAAGGAGGAGAAGGAAGAGGAGAAAAGGGGCTGAAGTTGTTTAAAAAGTGGGTACAAGTTAAAACTTTTGAAAAAAATGGGTATAGGTTAAATGGGGGCGACCAAATAGGGCGCCCCGTGCAATTTTTACTATTTCCCTTAATGGCGGATGTAGTGTCGTACCACCGAGTTCAACTGAATTCATAATTTTTGACGAGGAATAAAAAATTCATGTGTAAAAATTTATTAAAAATACAAAAATAGTAGATATAAACCCATAACTATAAAAAGGGAGAAATTCAAAAATAGCCAGATTTATAAGTGATTGTTCAAAATAGCCCAGTTTCAAAAATAATCGAAATCTAGCCACTTTTCATGTAAAGATATTCTGAGCGAAAACACTGTTCAAAACCCGGAAAATACGCCAATATATTATGCTGGAGTTCCAGCATAAGTATACTTGAACTCCAGCATATTATACTGGAGTTCCAGGATAAGTATGCTGGAACTCCAGCATAATATGATGGAGTTCCAGCATAAGTACATTAGAACTCCAGCATAATATAGTGGAGTTTCAGCAAAGTATACCGGTCCAGTATAATATGCTGGAAGTTCACACAGAAGTGCTCGAATCTCCAGTATATTATGTTGGAACTTTCCGTGTGTTGGAGTTCCAGCATAATATGCTGGAAGTTCATACACAGGTGCACCAAACTCCAGTATATTATGCTGGACCGGTCTCTGTTGCAGCAAAATAGTTGCTATTTTTCATTGACTTGGTAAACGCCGGCTATTTTTAAATGACCAGTCCGAAAACTGGCTAGACCGTGCTATTTTTACCTATAAAAACATAATGGATTCAATGTTAAAAACTTTAAAAGTTAAAACCATAAAATTTAAATTATGGATCCGCTTCTGAATCAGAGGATGCAAAAATATCGTTAAAGCTGTTGTTACTTTGTGACAACTCAAACGTACGAGAAATACAATTCTTTTTAAAATATGCTATATTTAGTAAGATCCTATGTACTCACAAAATAAATAAAAAAATTAAACGATAATTTCTATTTTCACATTTACAACTTCAAGATACACTAGGATATCATCAACTTGAAATAACAATGATACTACACTAGGACATCATCAACTAGAAATAACAATGATACTCTTAAGAAAATAACTACGTACAATTTAGAACATTAAGGAATTCAGTTAAGTCAACACTATAACACTGCACTTGTTATTCCAGCAAGTATACCATCAATCTGTAGTTCTTAACTTAGTTCATCATTATAACTATGTATTTCTATATTCAAGAGTGTGGAAGAGCGTGGACGAGTGGTCAATGAAATAAAAGAAAACCACAAGATCTTATATTCACATTTTCCGCTGCCATAAAAAAAATCGAATGCGTTTTTTACGGATATTTACCATGCGCAATGAATCTAGAAAGTCGATGGAGATGCATCACATGCCCCTCAAAATATATTTCACTATTTAAAGAGTGCAGCTAGGAAGAAGTCGTTTATTTGATTAATCAAACACAGGTTCGACTGAGTGGATCTAACGTAACTTTCCAATTAACGGTAGTATGCACATAACACTATTTAATTTAATCCGAATTCAAAATCTTAGGCACATGCCACCAATATTTTAGTAACAAATTACTCGTTCAAAGTGCCGTTTAACATCATTCTCATCACTGCAAAATATTCTTAAACACAACATACATACGCACAACTTTAACAACAAAGTATGTCTAGTGCCTGCAAACAAAAGCTCATCCGCACCATACCTTTTTTGGATCATCAAACTCATCATAGTCTCGTGAGCTAACTCCTCTCTTTTTTGAAAAGAAACAAAATATTAGGGTGGACCAGTGACTGAAACTAGGCTGCAATTTCAATATCTTGTTTCAAACTCAAGTTATTTTGATAATTAAGAAAGTATTTTGAAGGGCTAGTTGACATACAATTTGAAAAAACTCGGTGGCTAATAAACTCACGCCTCAACCCTTCTCTAATAAGAGTTTTATGGGTTCAAAGTAGGGTGTGCATGGATCGGATCGGCTTTAGCACATTTCAGAATCAGATTTCGGATTCTAAAAAATGCAATCCGAATCCGATCCGAATTAATATCGGATCGGATCGAATTTTAAAGTTTTGATCGGATCGGATTTTCGGATTTCAGATTGGATTATTATGCCTCAAAGTTGCAATTTCTTCTGTATTGTAAAAGAGGCAATACAATAAGAAAAATTCCTGTTTCTGCACTTATGAGAGTACTATAGTGCCAATATAACTAAATTCATCAATTGTAAAGGTAATAACTGGAGGAAAATGTAAAGGAAGTACTAACTATCCAAATTAAAGTTTAGTATTTATACATGCCCTAATAATTTCGAATTTCGAATCGAATTAAAATTATACCAATCCGAATCAGATCCGAAATCCGAAATTTTAATAAACACAATCCGAAATTCAATTTCAGATTTCAGATATCCGATCCAAATGAACGGCCCTAGTTCGAGGTTGTAACGTGCGTCTAGCTCACACATCACCCTACACGCTTATTACTATACCTCTTATTACTATGCCAAAGCTCAGGGCATTCTCAAACTTCCCGAGTTTCAACATCATACGACAGCTACGAGCCTACGACTCTTCAGATCCATTGGATACAACAACAAAAAAAAAAGAGCCCAATTTAATCCTATACGTGAAGTATGGGAAGGATAGTGTGTATGCAGCCTTACTCCTACTCTATAAAAATAGAGAGGTTGTTTTCGATAAACTTTCGATTTAAGAAACGGTAAAAATAAAGCAACTAGTAATAACAACAATAATATAATAAGGTAAGGGAAGCGAGTGAGAAATTATGTTCCATTGGATATTTATCATCAAATATCTTGTGCTGATCTAATCCCTAGCTCAAATTATGTTAGTACTACTACAATTGTGACTTCATTTTCAAAGTACTAGAGGACCACAAGAGGGAGGGACTGACTCAAATGAGAAAGTAGATCATACAGCTAATCAAATCACATGCAATGTCCACTCAAATAATAAAGCAGCCACGTAATATGTACAGAAATTCCACTACATACAAACACATAAAAGAACAAATTCAGTCAGAAATCTCAATCAGACACCATTAATTCACCAGCCTAGAAAATATCTAAAGATACCACAAACATCAGAGTACCACATAAAGTGGGAAACAGAACATGTAATAAGCACCATCATAGGTAATTCCAAAATTACCAGGTAAGAGGACATTGTCAAATTACCAAGTGATTAATTATTACTAGTACTTAATAAATAAAGATGGATCCTTTCTAGTTTTTAGGTCGAAACAGCAGCAAAAAGAAAGAGATCTAACATATAAGAAGCCAAATATTCAAGCTAGAAACAAGAAAAAGAAGTGAAAATAGGAAGAAAAAAACGACATTAAATTAAATCGTCCAAAAAGAAAACCAAAAAAAAGAGGGACAACAGAGCGAAATTAACCTCCATGGTCAATCTCTACATCATAATTGTAACTGCTAATGAGAATTTGAAAGAGAGCTTAATTTTACTCTTCAGGTTTTCTGCAGAGAATCATATGCATAGGAGAGAAAATGCCTTTTTCACCACCTTTAGACAAATAATCAGCAGTCACGAACAACATCTCGTGCACATCAACTGTACCTTTTGGTGCAATTCCAAGAAAAGCAAGAATTGTGACCAAAATATGGTTCCTCCAGTAAGCAATTCTCCCCATTTTCAGCCTCGTCCACCACGGGTTTGATGGCGGTTTAGCCAAATCTTTCTCCTTCACTACCTCAAATCCGACTTTCTTAGCAACTTCAGCAATGTCTTTGTAACTCCTCAGCCCTGGTAAAGCATCACCTCTTTCAATCCCGTGGATAATTTCGACATGTTCCGGGTCTTCGGGTTTGTACAATTCGGTTGTGACCCATTCATAGGAAACGTAAAGGGATCCGGGTTTCATTACCCGGTAGATCTCCTTATACACTTCTTCAAGCTTAGGAGCGTGACACGTAGCTTCAATTGAATAAGCTCCGTCGAAGCTGTTGTCTGGAAAGGGCATTTGCAGGAAATTGCCGCAAACAACTTCGCACAAGGAATCGAGGCCAGCTTTTTTGTTGTGCATCCGGGCTCGTTTCACCTGATACTCATTAATTGTGATGCCAACAACGTTAGCCCGTGAATGGGCCGCAATAGCCCGCATCGGCCCGCCAACGCCGCAACCTGCATCCAGAATGCGAGCCCCGGGCTTAACACCTATTAGATCTACAGCCATTTCTTCGTGAATACGTGTGGCTTCACGGTGAGATTTCCCAGGGATAGAAGGGGAAAAGTGAAAAGACTGACCCCAACCCCATTCGTAAATATCAGTGACGAGATTATAGAACGTATCGACGAAGGCCGGGACTTTATCGGCGGTTTCGATTTCTTTAGGGCGGCGGAAGAAAGACCAGTATTGTTTATAATTGTCTTGGACATTCTCTTTCTCGATGGACCCGCCGGAAAGTTGGACGGCGCGTTTACCTTTAACCTCGGCGGAGCCAAGGATGCAAACGAACCAGTAAAGTCCACCGGCAGCTAGAAGAGCGGCGGTACAGATGAGAGTGAGAGAGTCCATTAGTGGGACTGTGGGAGTGAGAAAAGAGGAAAGTGATGAGAAGAGAGCAAAATGAAGCGTGAGAAGTGGTGTGGCTTTTTATGAAGAGAGCGTGTGAAAAGTATTTAGCAGAGGGCGCATGAGGACAAAGTGACAACCAACTGACCAAGTGAAATACATAATTAAAGTTCGAATATTTTTGGATTGTATAAGGAAATATTGTTATAGAGAATAAATATTAGTATGACATAATATTAAATTTTGTTTCGAAAAATCTTAGTTTTTTTATAGTGAAGTGCTATTATATAAGGATGACGTAATAGAGAGGTCTGCCCATAGTAGCAATATTTTTGTGTATATACTACCATTTCCATTGTCGAAAATGAAAAATACTACTCCCCGTCCCATTTTATGTGACCTTGTCTTCTGGATTTCATATTGTTCTTAGTTTTCGGTGATACTAACTTTGTCTCCTGTTGTCTTTTTATTTATTTTTTTTAATTTGAGGGTCTTCCGGAAATAACCTCTCTACTCCTTTGGGGTAGGGGCAAGGTCTGCGTACACACTACCCTACCCAGACCTACTAGTAGGATTTTACTGGGTAGCACACTAACCTCCCTAGGCTCCACTAGTGGGATTTTACTGGATTGTTGTTTACACACTAACCTCCCGAGACTCCACTAGTGCAATTTTACTGAGTTGTTGTTATTGTTATTGTTGTTGTCTGGTTGAATAAGAATATTTAAAAAAAAAATGAAATTCTATTTATATAGAATAAATTTAAAAATTATAATTTTAAATATAAACAAGTGTAAATTTTCAAACATACTAAAGCAAAACATGTAACACATGAAATGGGACGAAGGGAGTATTTTTTTTCTTTTCAGCTGTATATATACTATTCATTTGATTTGATTTAATTACCAATTATCCTTGTGACTCTGGATTTGATTCAACTTCTCTTATACTGTATCTTTTTGCAATCTACGTCTTATCAAAATAAATTAATAGTAATTAAAAAGAGTCCTGATTTGGTGGCCGCGCATGATATATTTGGTTAAACAGAGTATATATTTCCTAACGGAAAGTCTAGTGGGAATTTGCACTTTCTGATTTTGGACGCCTAAGACCAAAGGATCCATATAGAATTACTCGATTGTCGTATTATTTATTAAGAAAGATTTAAGGCATTTAAATTTTGAAGTTTGATACTTTGAAAACTGAGGGCGAGGGGCTCTATTTTTGTATCTTATTTTCCATTAACGCAAAAAAAGATTAGTCTACTTTAAACATATCTTGACATTTCGGCTCTTTGCCTTTTGTACACGAGACAATCACGTTTCCTCCATTTTTTATTGAAGAATTTTGATTTTGCAAAGATTATTAAGAGAACAGTGAAGAACACATGTTTTCTCATATCCCAGGATGGCCTTGTTGGTTTGGAGGGCGGTCATCCGTATAGATGACCTGGGATCGATTCCCCTCAATGTCTTACGGATCGAGCCTATCGCATTGGCTTTGTCTAGTGCGGTTTTCATCCCTTGTATGGTTTGCATGTTATTACACAATGGTGGTTTACCCAGTACACATAGAGTGCTCACCCGAAGGGTAGAGGTTTTACCGGTTGCGAGTTTTTTTGAGGTTCCAAAAAAATATATGCTTTGTCATAACTTGACTTTTGTATATTTAAAAAGAATTGAATAGATAGGTAAAATTATTCTGAAAAATAATAAATGTATGTCTTTGGAATTATTTTGTGATATTTAAAATGCACAACAATTAAAAAAACTATACTACCTAAAAGGAAATATTGACAATTATTTCGTGACAAACAAAATAATACTAAGATTCTGCTCGAATATTCTAGGGAAAGATAAATGTATCAGATCTAACTATGGAATATGACAACGGTGAAGTTACACTTCGATCTACTTTGTTAACTTTTCAAGCAAAATTATAAATCAGATCCACGTTCTTTTCATTGTGTTACTTTTCTTAATTCACTTTTTTCCTTTGTTTCAAAAATAATATTATGGTGCTTTTGTTTTATTATTCGTCTTTATCCTGATTGTCTCAACAAAAGTTGCCGATGTACACATCATCTTTTCATTGGCAAAAGTAAAAACAATTTTAAGGCAAAAATGAAAAAGAAAATGAAGTTAACGCACCCAAATAATGGGTACTATAATCATCATTGTAATTTATCATTATGCTATTATTGCAAAAAAATCAGCTAAAAAGAATAGAAAAAGTTCTCGAGAAAAGCTGAGATTCAAATTGTTGGCTCAAAAAATTGTACAGTGAAATGAATTAAATGATCACACTAATTTGTCACTGAAACTGGTAAATATTATGATAAAAAAAAAAAAAAAACTACTATTAAAAGAGACGTTCACATACCTTTTTAAAATATTACCGCCATGATACAAGTCACACCGTGCAGTTTAGGAGCAACAATTTTGTTTATAGTCAAAGTGGACACATGGAACATTTTAGGGTTCTTATCCACACATATCAATTCAGATTTTTGTATCCAATGAGTCCTGCAACATGTTATGTCAATGGCAAAATAAGAATTTAAATTACTTGTTAGAAAATGTGTCAATCTTCCTTAGAAGGGCGACAAGGAAAATAATGTCAAATAATTAAGAGAATAATTAGTTAACTAACGACAATTACAAGAGCCGAATGAAAATTAGAGAGCATGTATACGGTCGAAATCAGGTGCACCCGATTTCCCGGGCTTGAGGGGTTGCTTTGAACCCGAGTTAGGTAAGATCGAGTTCGAGCTCGATGAACCAGACTCGAGCTCGAAGGACTGAGGGTAAGGCTCGAGGATCGAAGTGCGGGATGAGTATCGAAGCTGAGTGTTCTTAACCCCGGATAATACCGTTACGGATCTCTAACAAAATGAGCGAGATTCCTGCCACGTCCCCAAGATCACAGCGTAAATCCCGGAATAGATTTGTACGAACCGTACTAGGTGGTTAGACAGCTGTCCCAATAAGATTCTTTACTGTAAATAGAAATGTATCTTATTTAGGTTTCTCCTATTATATAAAGGGGAGCCCAATCATTTGAAAAGATCATATAACCATTGGCAAAAAATATACTCTCTTACTTTTTCGTTCATTGTTCATCAGAATTGTCCTTTAAGTTTTATTATTCTTGCTTTATTGTTCTTGATCCATCTCGAGGTCACTCTGGCTTGAGGTCGATACTGTCTAGCAACACTGGTTTGATTCACTCATTTCTTTCATTTATACGTTATACTTCTTGATTATTAATTGGTATTGAACTAAATCACATATCTTTAAAACCACAAATCAAGTTCGATTTTCTTGGCCTGAGCCAGGTTCTTCACTTTAATACCTCGAAGCTGAGTCTCAGCAGAGGCCAGTTGGGCTGAAGCAGCTTCTTTGTCAGCAGCGAGCCGATCCATGTTCTCTTTCCATCGGTGGCAGTCAGCTCTAACCTGATCGACCTCGCCCCGGAGTTGCCCAATCATCTCCAACTTCTGTTGCAGCTGAGACATCGAAGTGTTAGCCTCCGCAGTAAGGCCAAGAAGACCATACTCAGTAAAAATCACGGTTACCTGCTTGTCTAGCTCGGCCTCGTTGTTCCGAGCTTTGGCCAAGTCGGCCCGAAGATCCTTGAGCTCCTCTTCCTTTTGGCTACAAAGGATTCTCAGGGCCTTCCCTTCATCCGAAGCCCTCCTAAGCTCGACTTCACATTGGCTCAGCTCAGCCCTGAACTTGATGATGGCCTACACATAAAACAAAGAAGTGTCAGTCAAAAGAAGGGAAGAAGAAAGAAAATTACAGCAATAAAAGTTAGTGCTTGTCACACCTCCTTTTTCTACCCCGGAAGAGGGTATAGGGGATTTTTTCAATTAAAGTGACAATAATCGAAACAAGATTATTTATTTAATTTCAGAGTCGCCACTTGGGATAATTTATGGTGTCCCAAGTCACCGGTTTAAAATCCCGAATCGAGGAAGGTTTTGACTCTTATTTATGGTCTGCGAACACAGAAATCCGGGTAAAGAATTCTGTTAACCTGGGAGAAGGTGTTAGGCATTCCCGGGTTCCGTGATTTTAGCATGGTCGCTCAACTATTATTAATTGGCCTAATTATCTAATTTATTACATGTTTTAAACCTACATGCATTTTTAACTTTCTAACCGTTTTTAAATTTTTTTTAGGAAAATTCGTGATCGTCATACACTTGTTTGTTTTTGCAAACACATCGTAAACCACACTACATGAAATGCACCCGCGGTTCACGACATGTTTATTTTATTTAACATTATTGAAAATTGAAGTTGGGTCACATGAAATGCACACCTAGATTTAGAAATTATGTATCACAGCTACGTCATGGTAACCATACCCGTAGCCATGATAATTTTATTATAGCGCGCCTGAAGCATGCAAATAGATTTAATTTCTAATGTTCACAAGCTTGCTTAATATTAAATCAGACTAACTCACTAAGATCGAATCATATTTTATTACCGTTGACTCCATGAAGTGATTATTAATTGAATACCCTTAAACAAAGTTATGAGCCAACAAACTCAAACAAATACACCATTTTGAACAGATTACAGATTGATAGTGAGACAAGCGAAACAATCTCACAGAAACCATGATCATCCAAACCTATTAGCAAGAACACGCAGATAAAACTTAAGAGGATGATGAAGTGAGAAATGGACCTTTATGTATAGCTTTTCAATAGCAGAATTTCTTTAAAACAGCTTTACACTCGAAACGTAATGAACCGCGGACGGAAGTAGAACCGGAAACCGGTAGACAGTACCTCGACGCACGACTGAAACGGATTCCTTGCACAACGACCTACGGCGACCTCGAAGCTCGCCGGAAAACTCGAACTAAACTAGAAAACGAAACCAGCAAACTCCATGAAAGTAACGGGTGATTTGGAATTGTTTTAGGATGTTTCTCTGCGAAAAACAACAGCAATTCGAGCTGTTGTTCCTATGCGAAGATGAGGTTGTTTTTCTTGTGTGTTTTCTCGCTGGGTTTGGAGCTGGTTTTGACAGCGCCTGGCGGGAAGGTTCAGGGGTCTGTTTTTGTCTCTTGGGGTGTAGAAGAAGATGAAGTT